ATTGCCTTGAGTAACGATTCGTCTTTTAAAAATAGCGAACTTATTACTATTTAACTATCACTATGGCTTCATTATTATAGCAGACAGCACAAATGGCGCCAAATTTAGGTTTTGCGCTCTTACTAGGACATCCAAAAACTACCCTTACTTTTTGTTCGACCTAATTATTCCCCTAGCAAAGAATTTTGCGGCCATTCTTCGGGAATCAGCTGTCGTGTATTACATAACATAGCAATTTTAGATTTGGGCCGATTGTTATTTTTGTATTCAAGGGCAAACTCGCTAGTACATACAGCGGCTTAGGCCACATTACATAAAAAAAAAACGCTGCTCTTGCTATTGTTCTATTGCATACCGATTAACTGTCTACTAACATAAACAAAATTGTTATTTTGCATGTTGTTATTTGATTCGAGAGCAATTCTGATTAGGAGTTTAGTCTCCAAAGAAGTTACAAGCATGGAGGGTACATCTTAAAATGCGTTTTAGAGAGATCAATTTTTAATGAAAAACGAAGAACTCATCTAGAATTATAGATATACAATAATGCAACGAGAAATACAAAGATCATCGCTAGTCGAGTTGCACGAGAAAGAATAAGCATATGACAAATAGTCGTTTTCCTCGGTCTTTCTAGAACCTGTCAACAATTTCTGGGTTGAAAAACATTTTCATCAATGTAAGAAGTTCAATGAATTAGTCTAGCGCCACACCTCTAGTGTGAAAATTGATGATTTTTGTTAGCCGTGTACTACAAAACTCTTCTTAAAGCGACAATCCTAGAAACTTATATATATATATATATATATACATTTTATACTAATGGCGAACTATACAACTAGACAATCGAGGCTAACTGTTACCTTAGACTCCTTTGCTTATCTTATACTATAATAATAATAACTTTCTATACTCAATAAAATATAGTGTGAAGCTAGCAGTTCCACATCGCTCTTGGTATGGTATGTGCTTATGGCAATATGTAATAATACTTAATAATAATATGCGTTTCCATCTTTCCAATCATGACTTAGAAACTAGTGTAGAACAATGGTTTGCTTCGTTACAGGCTGCCTACAGATGCAGATACCTAATAATTAATTTCACCTTATTCAATTTCTCAGTATCGATGCTTATCGATTACAGTTTAATATAGTTTACTGTTGTAGTTTGTGTGTATGAAAAGAAATTGTACACTGCACAATATAACAGTAACTGGTATTAACTTGGTGCTGGGGACTCATATTATACCAAGACACGTCAAAAAAATTACAGTAATGGCGCCACACGAACGAGCCCCATGCCGGTAGATTGAGATACCGAGGAGGACTGTCCTGGCAGAAGGTTCTTAGCGAGGAAATTCAACGCGAGTAACCTGCCGCACTCTTTCAGCACAGCAAGGACCTTAAATCTCTTGGGTATCTATAGTGATGCCGGTGAATGACCACAAAACCATGTTACGTGGGCGCAACTTACAATTACAGAAGTGTACTGTTGGCAACGCATGTCGAAGGAGTCCATGAAACATGTGAACAGTTGTCTAAAGGGATCCTCATTTATACTACAGAGAGCAGTTCGACACTCTTGAAGCGTTGTACGCCACGAGTGAGCAAAAGTAGAATAGGTAAAATGTGTTTAAAATAAAAACGGGAGGAGAGCACATTTATGAGCATTTTTCTCCAACTAAATAGAGGTATAGGGTGGTACAGTATTATGTTCAGAGGACCTCGAAAAAGAACAACGCAAACGCAGATTCTAAAAAAAAAAAAGATCTAAAAGAAGATATACTCCAGTTGTCATTCCCTTGCAACACAAAATACATAAATACCAAAGTTGTAAATTAAACTTTGGTGTTTATGTTTTTGCATATATAAATTGCAAAAAAAAACTTGGAAATTAATTAATTTGCAAGGCTTTTTATTTAAAAGGGGCATATTGTCATATTGTATAGTGAGTAAGAAATATATTTTTAACGCAAGAACAACAAATAATTTATATCAAACTTATAACAAATAACTTATCAGAAGACAGGCATATTAATGTGCTCTCACGCTATTATATCTACTTAGCGAGCTGTTTTCAAGTTACAGTGTTCCTGTAAAGCGGAGGTGAAATTACAAGGTTCTAATTCAAGTAAAAGTGATAACTCTGTGTTGACTCAGACATTATTTTCAGACTGTCCATCAAGTGATGTTGAAAGCAGTCTATGGCTTGAAATAGCGAAGGATGTGTAGTAAAGAACGCATAAAACCACGTGAATACAAAAATCGAACACGTATGTGTAGGAGCTTCTAGGTCGGCTAGAACGACCTCTGCTTTGCCTCGTTCGATATGAACTCACTATGGATACATTCAGCTAGATGTGTTTCAAAACATAGCGTAGGTCAGCTAAAAGCATTTAGGCACGAAAAAATAGATTTACCACCCAGTGAGAAAGGTAATATAGCTAGCTGAAGATAGTTAGGCTAAATCAAACAATGAACATCTATTCTACTAGCTAGTTAATTCTTCATTTTTAATTAATATGGCGATCATGATAATTACTACCTTCATCAGAAGTACAAGCTAATCGAGTTACAGGTTAATTTATAATTCCAGTTATCTGGACCACCCCTTTATCATGAGAAAAACTATATCAAGTAAACCGCTTATCTAGTTAGCAAGCTTTTCGTGGCCGAAAGTACAAGTAAATAAGATTTTTTAGATAAAACAAATGGACATGTCGGTTTTTATTTACCTGTCTCTACTATGAATCAACGGCGTAGCTTTCGAAAAAATAATGGCTGGATAACGAGTGATATTATTATTATATTGATTCAAGTGAGAACAAGGTGCACCACCTGGGACTAGAGGCAGCAACGTTATTTTGAATGTATATTTAAAATTTTAATATAATAGCCGGCCCAAAATGGCCGTGCATCACGGTTAATTCAACTCATTGCACTATTAACGGTTAAACCCTTCGCTTTGAATAATATGTTACTCAAAGCGAAGGACGTCGAAAGTAAGATTTCCTAGATCTAAAGATGCACAGGGCGCGTAAATAGCTTCGCTTTTTTTTTTTACTGTAATTACAATAGACACTTTTTATTGGGTACCATCGAATGATGTACACTGGGACACAACCGTAACGATGCGTTGTTAGGCGATACTTTGATTACCGAATTAATTAAGCCATTCGAAATGAAAGCAAACAGCTTAAGCCATTGCCACACCGGCCACGAATAGCTCGCAGTTGGAAAATATTTCCCGTATTTTATACTATTTTAACTACCTTGCTTAATGGTATGAAATCAAACGTCCTAGATAGCGCATAACATTTGGTACGTCAAATCAAATAAAGGCCAAACGACCCACCTTTTAGCATATCAATAAATTGACGTTTGTATTAGACGATTTACTAGGGTTTTATTACTTGGTTAAAATAATTTTTTTTTATAATATTAGACTATCCAGAGTGTATTCGAGTGACGGCATCGGAATAGCAGATAAAGATAAGCTGGAAATCACAGTTTACTAAAGGCTGCTCCATCAGAGGAGTGATTCTCGTCGCTGGGAATATCTTCGAAACTCATATTAGAAAATGCAGCCGAGCTGATTCTTTCAGGCCTTTTCCCTGAGCTTTTCTTGCCTCTCTTTTTACCTGCAGAAATTTAGCATTCGAAAGTAGATCCACTAACTTAGTATCTGGCTGTCTATATATCTAGTGTCCTTCATGTATCAATTTGCATTTTTAGATGACATTTCGTTATATTACATCGCACTATTAGATTACTATATTTAGCCGAAGAACGTACGGCGATATCTAAACACATATACGCGGAGGATCAGATTTTGAGATAATGCTACTGTTTGAGCCTGCTGAAGGCTAGGCGCTTGAACAATCAAAACGTCTAGGCCATCGAGCGTACATTTTGAAAGAAGTGTGGAATAGAATAAGCATGCCACCTGCTGTTAATGAAAAATTTTCCAACTCGCTGACACTTTCCCACAAAGCTTTCCTTGGGAGACATCTCTGCGGTTTTATGCTTAACCTCTCAGCTGAGCCTTATTTCAGTTAAGTCGCCCTTAGCTCGTATTTGGCTGAATAGACCCGGCGTCTATTGGTACGCTATTTTCCGCAGACAGACATTATTTGACCGCTCCTATTCCATAACATAACAATGATGTCTGCCACGGTATAGTGCCATGCCCATTCACTGCTTTGCCAGCGACACCACCAGTCGCTACCGAATTAGCTGAAGCAAAGCTTCAAAGATTAAAAACAACACATTTTCAGAAGCTTTGGGGAAATCATGGTAGTATTATTGCCTAAATAAATGTACTGCCAAAAACGTCTTCTTTGCGATTGCCTATTTGTCTATCTAAGCTATCTTCGAGACACTATTCATATTGAAAGATACGTTTTAACAGCTAGTCGGCCGCCACCACTATGTTCACTCAACAACAACCGTCGAAAATAATATAGGTTGTTCCGAGCTGTGTCTTACTCAGAGGTAAGCTTGGAGCTGTGGCACAACAGTCGTGCAACCTCGCCTCTTTGTTCTGTGTGCCGTAATAAGTACGGATAGTACAAACTGTCAAATCAAAACTACTTGATGTGATCAACCAATATGTATTTGATACGATAGCACAGATATCTCTGCGCTATTGTATTAGATTGCATTTGGTAGTACATTATTGTAGAATATGTTTCTGATCACACATCTAGCAAAATCATAGTTGGACTAAAAGCTATAGTCTACAACCGATTATTTCGCATTTCGTTCTGTAAAAAAGTAAATTTTTTTTTTACAAGAATCCTATTTATGCTCATAAATACATGATGGCTTTTCCGAATCTTAGTAAAGAGCTTGACGACTCTAACAGACTGCTCAGAGTACAGCAGCCGTTCTGCTAAAATCTTTGAGCAGAATAGAATCAAACACCTTGCGTTTTAAAAGGCGTTAATACTTGACTTTCTCTTGTGACTCATTAAATATCTCTTGAGAAATACATACCGAGGGGAGAGGAGACAAGCAACAACTCGTTTTCTAGGCTAGGATGATCTTTGATGTCCTTTCTGTTTCCTTTGCCTATACCCGAACACCCATATCGGGGTGATACGTCGCCAAATGATTCAGCATTCACACCCAACGCCACTTGCGGACCTGCCTCGAACTGGTTAAATCGAAAAGCAGAAGCAATATTCGTACTGCCGTTTTATCGTATGTTGTTTATAATTCTACTTCACAAGACACGTTCCATTTAAGACACCCATGTTAACAATTACATCTTAGCACTCGTTTTCTTGTTATTTTGAAAATAGTCTCAACAGTTAGCTATTCTCAGATATTCTATTTAACCAAAGTTAAAGTCTTTTTTGAACCGAGCAAGGGACACTAAAAGATCACATGAGCATGAGAGCGGAGTTACAGTGCATTTGCAATATGAGTCAAGTGTAGGTAGGCAGAGCACAATGTTGCAGACGAGAAAAACAAGTTTCTAAAAGGCACGACCGGTCATGCAAGCCGGAGGAAACAGTAGATTTTTTACAAGATCTTCAATTAATCAACTTCTGACTGGATGTTTTATCGTGCAACGGCCACTACGAAGCGCCCAAAAAATAGAATAAATAGTCCACAAAAATATATCCCATTTTTCATTTAAAAACCGACTCAGATTATCTGTTTGCATTGCCTCTCACATTCTAGTTACCTGACAGAGCCTTATGAGACTTGCGGTGCACGTTGATATTTGGGTAAGCCGTTCAAGAGGAAACCCATGACGCATTAAAAAGTCAGACCTCAAAACCAAGTCCAATAAATTAATTGATGAATAGAACAAAAAAAATATACCTTTTTTTTTTTTCTAAGAATTACTTAAAAAGGTGACAAAAATCAAATTACAGCAATGAAAAAGTATTGATTGCTTATATCAAACTAATATCAATTTCTAAACCAAGCATTGTCAATGTTAATGTGCGCTTTTATTATTATACTATACCTCAAGCATGGTCGAATTCGGCATCACATGACACTTTTTAGGAACTAACCTTTCGTCCTTGTTTTGGGCTGGCTTTGCTATCGTTGAGTGTGACAACAGTCGTCGGGCCTTTTCGTATCTCCTTAAGTGTATCGCTCTTGACGCCTGCGTTTTCTTTGGCTCCTCCCCCGACAGGAATAACAACCGCACCTCCGCTAGACGACACCAGTGACGGGTCCTTGAAGAGTACAGCTAAAACGTTTGCGCACAAATGAACAATAAACCTCATCGAGAAGAACGGCGGGGAAATTTAATGTGAACATTATTATTATTACTACTACACACAGTGCAATAAATAATTTCAGCGAGATTTAATTGGTTTAATCTCTGTGGTCAGCTTTGTAGTTCCTTGCAGATTTATCAGACGTCTCTCGGTTATTATATCAGTATGTTAATAAGGATGCTGGGCATCATTCTTTAGCAAGCAAACTGAAGATTTGAACATTCCAGCCGAAGGGCAGCGTCATGTCATCATACTATTTAGTGTACAGCCGCAATATACTTATGAGTTGTTGGAGCGTGCGGTGATGAATTGGGGGCTCAATAAATATAAAACTTCTGTATTCGCACACTAAATTATCTACTTTGCCACTTGGTGTCACCTTTTCTTCACATTTAATTAAATACCTCAAGCTATGAAATAAGAATAAATAGAGGACAAAGATGTACCCCGATCCTTGAAAGGCCAAGTGGGAAAAATGAATATATATTTTTGTTTAATTTAGAAATCTCTAATAAATTATGTAAATGGTTAAAACCAAAACATGCGACTAAGTAATCAGCAAAATCCAAATTTTTATGAATATAATAATTTATAGACGATACTAAAATAAACTTTTGTTTTGGGAAACCTATTATAGCTCCGACGCTTCCAGAATCCAAAAAGTATCTCCCGTGTATACACGATATAAGATGTGAGTCAGAGAAAAAAATTGGAAAATCCGCTTACCTCTGCATTCTCAT